CCAAAGATGGTGGAGGTGCGAGTGAAAGGTAAAAGAGGATATTAAAAAGTAACATTTCACTATCCGTCAAATAACGGTATTTTTAAATTCGGACGGACAGACACACAGACAGACAGAGAAGAAGAGAGACGTTTCTTAATTTTTCATTAAAATCATCACTTTTCGACCGCTTGTATGTCCAGAACGGCTTGACCGATTTAAAATTTTTTTGTCTCGAATTACTCGTTGTGATGCCGCCTTTCAGGACATGTAACGTTTGATTCAAAATTTTTTATATTTTAATAGTTATGCACCTCCCAATAATGGACTTTGATGGCTCGGGATAAGAGACTTGTAGCGTCTCAGAGTTTTTGAACATAGCCGGAGACGCTACCGCGTCTCCTGATATATTTATATATATAAACATATAAAAAACAAATAATATAATCTTATTTTTACGACCGTACAATTGTTAAACAATAACAAGAAAGAAGGAAGCACAAAGCAAAGCCTATCACGGTCATAGCTAGATCAAGATACCTATTATCATTATGTGTGTATTTATATATCGCGTATGTAGTTCTCTCAATCGCGTGCCGAACATTTTTTCAGACTTACAACGCAACTCTATATAACTACCGCGGTAATATCACTTTAGTTAGATTGACAATCAATCTAACAAATTTCGATGCTTATAGCATCTTATTAGATCTTAATAATATGTTGAAAGACATATATTAAAATTTAATATTAAAGTAATGATAATTGAAATCTGTGAAAAATAAGATTGCGAAGAATATCACAAGTTGGCAATATGTATTTAATATAAAAAACATTAAATACATATAAAGACATATACTTATATACATATAAAAATACATATAAAAACATATAAATACATATATATTAAAAAATAATATACATATAAAATACATGTATACATATGTATACATACATATTTCCGCAGAGGGTGTGGGGTCGCCTGGGGGCCGTCGGTATTTGCCGGTGGCGTCAGGGGGACAACGTACCTTGGGTTTAGTGAACACACGGACCCGAGCTCTTGCGGATCGTGGCTCTGGCCATGGTCGGACCCGCGCTGGGACTTGTCCTGTCGTCGGGGGGGCCATTGGCTGGGGACATGATCTGCAAGTGGGTCCGGCACCTCGAGGAGAGGGGAGAACGCGCAGGGAGCGCGGTCCCCTCTCTGGGGGACCTGTCCGTTGTAAGGACTTGTCTCCAAAGTGCCGGTAGGAGAAGGCGACTCCGACTTCAAACGCCCGGTGACCAGGCACCGATAAGGGGATAGTGATTTCCTGCCCTGGGGGGGTGTGGGCGGACCGTGGGCCCTTGTCCCTCATTCCGCGGAGCCCGCGCCCTGTCCGCTTGGGTGGGGGCGGTCTCTGGGGAATGGGGGACATAAACTGGCGACGAGGGTGCTCCCTCACGCGGAGGTGCCTGCGGCTGGGTGCTCCTGGCCGCAGGAGGACCCCATGCGGCAGGAAGATGTCCTCCAGGATGAGTACCATTGCACCAGGGGTACCGGCGTCGGGGATCGTTCCACGGGTTGCCCCATTGCACTATGGCGTCGGTTCTCCCTAGGGAAAGCCCATTGGACGGAGGACGAAGAGCCGGTTGGGCCGCTGCCTGTTGGCGCCGTTCCTTCGTGGCGGATGCGGGCTCACGGGGGACTCTTCACCCGCGGGCTCGTAGGGGTGGGTGGAGGGGCCGCTCGGAGCTTTCCGAGGACGGGCCCTTTCGCCGACCCGTGGGTGAAGTCTCCTAGGTTTCTCCTTGGAGGCCCTGGGAGACTTCGGGGACGTGGACGCGGGATCGCGGGGATTCCGGACTTTTCCGGTCTCCCCGGAGGAACCGCGGGGGTGAGCGACGGGGCCGCGCGGGTCTCTCCGTGTCGGCCCCCTCGCTCGATCGGGGAGGGGTGACGCGGTCTTGTCGGGGGTGGCCGGTGGGCCGTCCTCTTCTCGATGGGACCGTGGAGGCGGGCGGTGGTGCCACGCGGATCTTTCCGTGTCGGCCCCCTCGCCCGCTCGTGGGAGATAGTTGACGCGGTGCCGGGGGGACTTCGGAATGCCGAGTCTCTTTCGGTGCCGTGGGGAGGAGTGCGGGGGCCGCTCGGATCTTTCCGTGTCGGCCCCCCCACTCGCCCGTGGTGGGGCTGCGTGGCCGCTTGGCGGCGGTCCCGCGGTCCCTGTCGGCGGTGTCGTTGGGAACCCTAGGGTTTCCGGCGGCATCGTCGGCGGACGTAAGTACCCCCCGTCCACCGACGGTGTCTTTAAAAGGTGGACGGGGGGAAGGCGTTTGCCTCCCAACGGGAGTTGAAATCCCCGCGGGAGGTGTGCTGGTCGCCATGGCGGGGAGGGCGCGGGGAAGGCACCAACCCTTCGCCCAAACTGTCCATGGGGCCCCCCGGGTGGCGCCACCCGCGGCGGTGCCTCCCTGGTCGGAGGGGGAAGGACCCCTGAAAGCAGCGGGCTTTGCGGCCCGTTGTGAGTAAGGGGCTGGAGCCCAGTGGCCCGGTTGAGTATCTCCCGGGCCCCGAGGCATAAACAGTCCCCCGGGGGAACTCGGGGCCTCGCATAGGTTACGTCTCTGTGCGAGGAGGGTATACCCTGACTGTCGAGCCGTCGCGGGGAGTGGGATAAATCCCAAAAATGACTTCTTTTAATAAACTGTATGAATGGGAACGAGCAAATGTTAGAATGATAGACTTGGATCTCTCCAAGAAGGAGATTAAAGAAATCCGGGAGTGGCGCCTTAGCCCGAAGGGTAAACTCCCTTCGACCGTGGCGCGCGTCCATACGAGGGGCGGCGTGGAGTTGTACTCCTTGGAGGGCCCGCGGCGCCTGGGTCGTCTGAAGAATATAGATTCGTCGGACTCCTCGGGCGTCCGGTTCGTGAGGAAGAAGGGGAAGGGGAGGGCGAGGAGGCAGCTGAATGCCCCCTCGACTTCCTCTTCCTCTGTCGAGGGGGGAGGAGCCCCCGGAAGACCTTCCGCTGGAGGAGGATCTCCGGGGGTGCGTGATTGCAGGCCTGGGGAAGGTGTTCTCCGGACCTGCAGTTACGCGGGTGTATTAAAGCATAGGGCGCGGGGGATTCTCACCGAAGAGAATCCCTCGCCCTCCTTGCTTAGACTCAGGGGCGGGTCAAAGGGGAGGGAGGACTCCGACTCGGAAGCCTCGATGGCCTCCATGGAGGTGTCCTCCGTGGCGTCGTCGACGGCGGCGAGGCCGGGTCCTCTCTCTTCGAAGGTGAAGACTCGCATGGCTACGCGGAGTTCGCAGCCATCGCCCGGTGCGTCGGGGACGGAACGGGCGGTGGACAAAAGAACTCGGGATGAGTGCAGTGCCTCCTCGGAGGAGGATCAGGTTAATTCTCCGAAGAGATCCGCCGCTGCGAGCACCGCCCTGACTCTGCTGTACGGCTCCTCCGGGGAGGAGGAGGCGCGGGCGGCTCCGGCCCCCGCGGGGGAGGCCGCTGGTGGGCCTTCCTCTCGGGAGTTGACGAAGAGAAAGCCGGGCAGGCCCGCGGTCGTGGAGGGCCACGTGGGCCAGTTCACGGCCGAAATGCGGGCCCAGCGGCAGCGTGAAAAGGAAGCTGAGAAGAGATGGCAGATATGTTGCCGACCCTTCCCAGCCTCCCAAAAGTGCGCGCAACAGAAAGCGCCTACGGGACGCGGAAGACAGAGCCTATGGCCTTGCCCTGGAGCCGGCGGGCGCTGTCATGATGGCGGCATTGGAATCTCTCGACACCATTGCAAAAGGGATTGAGAGATCCAAAAATATCAAATGGGACATCGTTGGCTCTTTATGGGAGTCCCTCACGGAAGCCACGGCGGCCGTGGGAGTCCTTGCTGACCAGGCCCAGATGAGGAAGGAGCTGAGGTGTCAGCTCATGGAGCTCATAAAGACTAATAGGGAGCTCCGAGAGTGTAACGAAAGGCTCTTGATTAGGATCAAGGACCTTGAGGAGATCTCTCTTCTCAAGGTTCTTGATCCTAATCAAGAGAGGGGCCGGAACGCCGGATGGGGAGTTCGGCGCTCCATCTCCCAGGCTCGGGATGTACGGGACGTGGCTGCGGAGGCGCCACTTCCTCAACGCTTGAGGAGCGTGAAGGGCAGGAGCGGGGTTGAGGGGGAGCCCTCACTCTTATCCCCCTTCTTAGAAGAAGGGATGGACACGGGCCTCTCTGGTCTGGAAATGGACCTGCCGGCGGTATGGAGACCGCCGCTAAAGGAGAGGTCCAGACGATTGGATGCGCCCCCGGGAATGGTGGTCGAGGTGGTGACCGGTGCGAAGGAGTCGGCCGATCACCGCCTCCCAGCCTTGCCCTGTGTTAATGAGAGAGGTGGCTTCCAGGGGAAGTCTGCAAAGTCCAACCCTGGAGACAGGAAGAAGAAAAGAAAGGCCACCAGATCCCGTAGGCGGGGTGCCTCTCCCGGAGAAGGAGAGGCGTCCTCCCCTGGAGAGGGGGAGGATGTCCTTTCACGTCTGATGGGACGAAGGCTCAAGAACCTTTTGGGTCCACTAATGAGCCGTCTCTCTCGCATGGAGAGCAGACTGGAGGGGGAGGTGGGGTCCTCCCGCACCCCTGCACAGAGGAAGGCGCGCGCTGAGGCGAAGAGGAGACAGAGACAAAGAAGGAAAGAGATTGGTGCCTCCGGATCCTTCGCCCCTGTCCCTGGTTGGGGGGTCGTGGGTGCCGGGCCTGTGTCTGGCGTCGAGCCGATTTAGGCCGAGGCGCCGACTAGCGGTGCGCGTTCTCTTCCCGCTGGAGGGAAGAGGGCTGCGACTAGGTCGGCGCCTAGGGAAGAAGCCCCCTGGACAATGGTGCAGTCCAGGGGGCTCGGAGGAGGGATGCCAGACGGGCTCCCTCCCCCGAGGCACGGAAGAAGAAGGGTAATGCGGGGGGGGCGACCTCCTCGGAGAGCAAGAGAGTCTCTCTGAGGAGGCCGAGAACCGCCGCCGTGGTTTTGACGGCTCCTCCCGGGGGGTATGCAGACGCCATGAAAAGGGTGAAGTCCGCGGTCCCCTTGGAGGAGCTAGGTATCACGGATCTCCGGGCCCGGAGGGCTATCACTGGCGCTCTGGTTTTGGAGGTTCGTGGTACGGAAGGTGCCGCCAAGGCTGCCCGCCTGGCGGACAGGATGGGTGAAGTCTTCGCGGGATGCGAGGGAATCAAGGTCTCGCGTCCCGTGAGGACGGCCGAGCTCCGTGTCTCGGGCCTTGACGACTCGGTGATTGCCGAGGAAGTGGCGGTTGCCGTGTCGTCGGTCGGGGCCTGCGCCGTTGAGGATGTTAAGGTGGAAGACATTAAGATGTCTCCCTCCGGCATGGGGACGGCATGGGTGAGATGCCCTGTTGAAGCGGCGAAGCCCCTCACGGACCAGGGAAGGGTCCGTGTGGGGTGGGTAAATGCTAGGGTGCAGCTCCTACCGGTGCGCCCACTCCAATGCTTTAGATGCTTGGAGATGGGCCACATCAGGGCGAGCTGCACCTGCGACGCTGATAGGTCCGGCGTTTGCTACAGGTGCGGGGTGGCCGGTCACCTTGCGGCCTCATGCTTGGAGGCCGCGAGGTGTCCATCCTGCGCCGAGTCGGGCCTGTCGGCGTCGCACAGGATCGGTTCAGTCCCTTCGTGCAGGACAGCGAAGGGACCAAAGAAGAAGGGCGGTGGCAGCGGGGGTGCAGGTTCGGCCGCGGTGCGGGCCCCCTCCACTCCCGCTGCCGCGAAGTCGCGTGGTGGCGGGGCGGCTACGGCGATGGACACTAAGTCCGTCCCCGTGGTCTCCCTGTCCCGTATAGATGCCCCCGTGCCCTCCGGCCTCGTTGAGGCCATGGAGGTCACCGAGGAGTGAGCCGTCGGGGGGAGGGCGGTCTCGCTTGCGGAGTAATGGCCAGCGGGACTACCCTCCTCCAGGCTAATGTTGGCCACTCTTCGTCAAGACAGGCTATGTTCTGTCAGTGCCTGGCGGAGAGTGGCGCGGGCCTGGGGCTCGTCGCTGACCCATACCACATTCCTGAGAACCACCCACACTGGGCGGCGGACGTGGATGGGTTGGCGGCGATCTATTGGGGCCACGGCGGCGGCTCCCCGCCCATGTTTCTATTGGAGGCAGGGCTGGGATTCGTCGCCGTAGAGTGGGGTGGCACCCACGTGATGTCGTGCTACCTCGTGCCCAGCCTACTTCTGGCTGAGTACGAGGTGGCACTGGGGCGCATGGGGGACTGCTTGCGCAGATTCTACCGGCGCCCCTGGATCGTTGGGGGGGACTTCAACGCTCACTCGAGCGCGTGGGGCTCCCCCCGTACAAACGCGAGGGGCGAGGAGGTGGAGGAGTGGGCGAGGAGGGTGACAGAGGAGGCGTAGCGTCTTCGGCCCAAACAAGGGCCTCCAACGCCGCCTCCATCTTGTCGGCGTCTAGCGCCCTTACCCTCCAGCGGGGACGCCTGTCCGTCCCACCATCCTCCTCCCCCCGCTTCCATGCGGGGGGGAAGAGGAGGGACCGGGGAGGGAGCGACGGCCACGGATATCTCGATTAGGCAATGATCAGTCTGTTCGCCGAGAGCACCGGGCCGCACCCTCCACCCCCGTATCCCATTCCGGATGGCAGGGGAGGCCCACGTCAAGTGGATAATGGACTCCCCCCTGCTACCCACAAAAGTGGGGTGGCACCCAACATTGAGGTGGCAGAGGTTTAGGCTGGGGTGGATGATGCGTCAGGCGTGCGATATCGCGATGCCGCGCAGTCGTCCGTTCATCCGTCGCTCCGCGTACTGGTGGTCCGACGAGCTCGCTGAGCTTCGTCGGGCCGCTGTGTGTGCTCGCCGTCGTTTACAGCGCGCAAAGCGCAGGAACGACGGCGAGGGGAGGATGGCGGCCCTGGGGGACCTCTTGCGTGTAGCGAGGGGTACCCTCAGGATCGCCATTCGCGTGGCGAAGGCCCGGGCGTGGAAGGAGTTGCTCGTGGCCCTGGAGGAAAACCCGTGGGGGGGGGGGGCCTATCGGCTGGTGTTAAATAGACTCCGGCCGTGGACCCCTCCCATCACCGAATCGATGGACGTCGGCCTCCTCGCCAGGGTGGTGGACGCCTTATTCCCGACGAGAGTCGGGGGGGTGCCACCATACTCCGGTCCGCCGGAGGACTGGCCTGTGGACGGGGAGGCCGACGTCTCCGGTGACGAAATGCGGACAATCGCAAGGCGACTCCGGGGCCGTCCGAGGGCACCGGGACCCGATGGGGTTCCCGGCCGCGTCTGGTTCGTCGCGATGGGTGTGCTGTGGCGGAGGCTGGGGGATTACTTCAGCCTCTGCCTCAGCCAGGGCCGCTTCCCAAAGGAGTGGAAGGTAGCGCATTTGGTCCTCCTGAGGAAGGTGGGCCGACCTGCGGAGAGCCCATCGGCCTATAGGCCGATATGCTTGCTGAACGATGTGGCTAAGCTTTTCGAAAGAGTGATAGCTGGCCGCGTTGTCCAGCACCTGTCGGGGGCTGGCCCGGACTTGTCGCCGGGCCAGTACGGCTTCCGTGACGGGAGATCGACGGATGACGCGGTGCGTCAAGTCCATTCCCTCGTGGAGGCTGTGATAGTCGAGGGGGGTGTTGCGTTGGCGATATCGCTCGATATCGTTCAATGCGTTCAACACCCTCCCGTGGGGTGTGGTGGTGCGGGCGCTCGAGGAGCATGCCGTACCGCCGTACCTCATCGCGGTAATAGCGGACTATTTCCGCGACAGGACACTAGAGTTCACTGTCAAAGGTGGACACTGGTGTAGCAGGGAGGTGTCGTGCGGTGTTCCGCAGGGGTCGGTCTTGGGACCACTCCTGTGGAACATTGGCTACGACGCCGTTCTCCGTGGGGCGCTGCCGGCCGACTGCCACCTGGTCTGCTATGCAGACGACACTTTGGTGGTGGTCGGCGAGAGGAATTGGGAAGCGGACAGGAGGAAGGCCGACTTGGTGCTGGCCGGTGTGGTCCGGGCAATTAGAGGACACGGGCTGGAGGTGGCCCCCCAGAAGACGGAGGCTATATACTTCCACGATGGCTCTCGAGGGAGGCCCCCTCCCGCCCGTATAATGGACGGTGATACGGCCGTCGAGATTGGGACCGTAATGAAGTATCTCGGTCTCTTCCTCGACGGACGGTGGGATTTTGTCGAGCATTTCGCTCGACTTAGTCCCAGGCTGACGCGTCAGGCGGACGCACTGGTTGGGATTATGCCCAACCTGGGTGGCCCGTGCTCCGCGGTGCGGAGGTTGTATGTGTACACCGTCCTGGCCGGGCTCCTTTATGGATCTCCCATTTGGGCGGGCGCGGCGGTGCGCAGTCGCCGCATCCTGGGCATGATGCGCAGGGTGCAGCGGCGGCTGTGCATCCGGGCGGTCCGCGGCTATAGGACGGTGTCCTTCGCAGCCGCCACATTATTGGCGGGGCTTCTGCCCGCGGAACTCCTCGCCGAGGGTAGGGCCGAGATGCACCGCATGGTGGCTGCATCTCGGCACGAAGGTGTGCGGCGGGTTCCGCCGCGCATCCTTTCGGCGTGGAGGCAAACCGTGAGGGACGGGATGTTCGAGAAGTGGGCGAACAGCTTACGCGAAGATCCCGTCCTGTCGGTCAAACGGGTTGTCCAGTCGGTTGGCCCCCTCGCGCAAGAGTGGGCTGACCGTCGGTGGGGACGCCTGACATACAGGCTGACACAGGTGCTCACCGGTCATGGTAGCTTTGGTGAGCACCTGTGTCGGATAGGAAAGGCTCTGGGCCCCCGGTGTCAGCACTGCGAGGCGGCCGAGGACACCGCGCAGCACACGCTGGAGATATGTCCAGCGTGGGATATGCAGCGCGGTGCCCTTAGAGAAGTCATCGGGGATGACTTAACGCTCCCCGGCGTGATAGCGGCCATGCTGGGGAGCAAAGAAAAGTGGGGCTCGGTCTTCTTCTGCGAGCGTGTGATGCTCGCGAAAGAGGAGGCCGGGCGCATACGGGAGGGGATTGTCCCCCGTCCCCGTATGAGGGGGACACCCCTGTGGGGGATCCAGATCCGACACCGAATCGACCCCCCCGCAGGGGTGGTAGTAGAGGGAGGCCGAGGGGTCGCGCTGCCGGTGGAGACCGGTGACATTAGGCCGGGGAGGCGCGTCCCTTATGGACGCATCTTCCCGCCGGCGGCGTGACTCCTCGGACGTGGTGGTGGGAAGTTGGGGGCGGAGCGGGAACTGCGCTCCCAGTTTAAACTTCCCGTAGGGTAGTTGGGCGATGGGTTGGTGTCCCCCCATCGCCCATTAGGGAGGCCTGGGACTTCTCTCGTTAGATAGAGAGAAGTCCCAGTTGAGGGCGTTGTGGCGCAAACCGCTTGGTCAGGGGGCGCCCTGGATGAGTGCTTAATTGCGTGCCCAGGGCGACATGGCCCGATGGTGGACACCGGCGGGGGTTTTAGTGGGTATTCCCGGCGCGGCTTCGCCGCGCCGGGCGAGTCCCGCATAATCCTCGGGGGATTCCCGTCCCCTGTGGGTATGCGTAAAGCATTTCCCCCCCCCAAAAAAAAATGTATACATACAGATGTATTATTTAAATATACATATAAAAACATATTTTTATATGTTTTTCCAATTAAGAACTAATGTGAGAATTGCGATTTACTATCTTTAGCCAACTTGGTAAACTCAGGGTTGTAGTTATAATAGTAGCAGTAACCACACAATCCTCAAGATGACGATCAGTTAGACGGTTTCGAAACTCGTTTTTCACATAATTCATTTTTGAGAATGCAGCTTCGCAAACATAGGTTGATACAAACATTGCTAATACAAAAGAATTTATCTTTCGTAGAGAGATTAGGATAAGTTTCAACGGACAAAATATCAGTCCAAAACTTGGTTATATGTGATACTTGATAATTTTCTTTAAATATGTTGTTTGTGTCTAAAATCGCCGCGTGCGATAATATTTTGGAATACGGTTGCTGGTGCGGGCCGATTTGAAAGGCTGTGCGGCCCATGGGCTGGACGTTGGGCACCCGTGCTTTACAGAATTAAATTTTAAGAATTAATTACATAACTGGTACACTCAGTCCTTCATTTTTTTAAGTAATTTTTTACAGGATACAGTAATTTGACTTTAAATTATTTAAAACAGAGTGAAATCTAACCAATTAGTATTTTATGCCGTTGAAATGTGATTTTAACAGCACGAATGGTTTAATTAATATGATAATGTAATAATATGCGAAGATATACGATCACGTTAATGAATAAATAAAAATATGTTGTCCAAAGTCGACGCGTTAGTTAATACGCCTCCGCCTCGCTTTTGCTATCCCCCTCACCTCACCGCTCCGCGCTTAGAACAATGCCATTCGACTGTCATGGTGTTTCGAATGCACGCGGTGCGGTGTGGTGAGGGGGCCAGTGCAACTTTCGGTTGATTTTCGAATAGTTTACGTGTAGTTTTCGCTGTCCCCCTCACCTCACCGCTCAGCGCGTAGAACAATGCCATTCGATCATCGTGGAGCATTTGGACTGCACGCGGTGAAATGAGGTGGGGAGGGTTGGGCAAATGCAACCTTCAGCTGATTTACGAATTGCCTTCGTTTAGCATTCGCTGCTCCCCTCACATCACCGCTCCGAGCGCAGAACAATACCATATGACTGTAATGGGACATTTCGATTGCACGCGTTGTTTATGTGTAGCTTTCGCTGTCCCCTCATCACATCACATCACGGAAAAAAACAATACCATTCGACTGTCATGGAACATTTCGACTGCACGCGGAGCGGTGAGGGGGAAAATGCAACTTTTGGCCGATTTTCGAATCGCCTCCGTCTAACTTTCGATGTTCCCCTCACAACACCGCACCGCGCTC